TCCTCGTAGAATGAGGTTTACCTAGTTCGAACTAAGCGCTCCGCTAGTTCGATTCAAATTCGAACTAGCGGAGCGCTAGTGTAGCGCCTATCAAAGTTAATTCAAACTAACGTCCGTTAGTTCGAATTAACTTTGTAGTGTAGACATACCCTAAAGGAGGTTGCAGCGTCCTTAGGAATAGTACATTCAGGGAGCTGACTGACATCCCAGTCAGGCCTGTGGGGGGAGGGAAGGATGGACAAATCACAGTCATGAACTCAACCCTTTTCCTTTTGTTTGTCTAATCGTGGAATTTGAACCCTTTCTCCGTAGGGTCCCTTGATTGCAACAGCTTTTACCAATGGGTACCACTGAAGCTAGCGACCAAGGAGGCGGGAGGTAAGATGTTTGAACAGAAGGGTGTAGGAGGGGTGTGAGAGGAGTGAAGCTATAGGACTGGCCTGTCCTGAGCCTGCAAAGGAGGGGATTTTATTCAGTGACAGAGTTTCCTGTTAGTTGGGCTGACATTCAGGGACTTCATCTGAAGGTGAGGGCAAGGAGGCCAGGTCTCTGAGGCCAAAAGAATAAGTGGCTGTGCCCAGTGGTGGCAGGGAGAAGGGGGAGCAGTAGGTGGGAAGGGTGTGGAGTGGGGGAAATGGAGGGGATAGTATGGAGACCTGGTAGAAATTGGGGAGTTGATGGAGACAGGAAATAGACATGCACAACTGGCCAAAATCCTAAGGCAATGTGAGCGCTCTCCCTGGCACTCTGGAAGGACATGCCCCTTCCACCTTTAGCACTGCCCTGCATGCCACTAACTCTGCAAATCTCTCTGCTGCTGAGAGTGCTGCATCTCTGGAATGGTGTTTCCTCTCCATTGAGGCAGTCTGTGGAGAGAAAAGAGGCTTCCACACCCAGGTGGGAGAGGGGGAAACCCTACGTGCAGTTCCAGCAGTGTTCATTAGAAGGGGGTGAAGAGAAGCTATTGGAGGATACTGGTGCATGCCTCAAAAGTGTCAGAAGTTTGGTGGCTGAAATGAGTAGGGCAGATGTTTCCAGGGAAAAGGTGTGACTGCCTCTCTTCATCCAGGGATAGCTTGAGTTCAGTTTGCAGCATGTAATTAGCCTCTTCTTTAAATACAGAAGTTTGATGCAGGGAGCCCACAGGTCTTAGCATACAGTGCTCCTTGACCCAAGAAGCCAGGCTGCATTGCAATGCTGGGGCTTGTCCCTTTGGCCCACACCTTCAGGTTAAAAATAGGGGCAGTTGCATTGTGTTCCACTTCATTGCCAGTCAGGCGCAATCTTCATACAATCGTGTGTTGGGGAAAGTTTGGGTAACCCCCATGGCTGTGTCAGACAAGACAAAAAATAAGTTGTTAGTGTTTGTTGGTTTATCTCCAACCCCTGTACCCTCCACCTCTGCTGGTCTCCTGCAGATTCCCCAGTGACCTAACCAAGGACAGCGGGCTGGAGGATCTGGTGAGCCTTGGGAGATGAGCCAAGGTTTCCTTTTTACTGAATAAAACTGCACACTGCCGGCTGGCTGCCAGGCTCCTGCTGACCTGATCTCTCCCATTGAACAGACCACACTGGACTGAACCCACAGAGATCATCTCACTTTCTTCCTAACCACTGATGGTTTATGTTTCTCCCTCCCCCAGCCCACCGATTCTTCTTTATTTATTTTATTAGCAAGAAGGGTTTTTTTAAATATTTACTAGGGGGCTGTGCCCCCTGCTCGCTATGCTAGCC